AAATGACGCGAGCTTATAGCAATCTGAAATAATGCGTCGAAAAAAACTGCTTTTGATTTTATCGAAAATGCATCAAAGTAAACTGAACCTTAAACGACCTTTGCTGGAGGTAGTTACGGGTGATTTTAACCAGATGTAAAGGAAAGTTGAAGTTACAAAGCTTGTACACAAGTCCGTCATGCCAAACATTGTCAAACGCCTTTTCAACGTCTAGCAAGGCCATGGCTGTGGACTTGGATATAGCTTTGTTACTCCGGATGTTGTTCATCACCCGTACCGTACTGGGGATTGGTGGAGTGCCCCTTTCTGAACCCGAGCTGTTCCGGAACGAGAATGTTGTTTTCCTCGACAAACTTGAGCAAACGATTGAGAATGAGTTTCTCGAACAATTTGCTCAGCGCTGAAAGGAGGCTGATTGGTCTGTAGTTTGAACGCAATGTTGGATCGTTACCGGGTTTGCGGATTGGTATGATTTTAGCTACTTTCCAGATGCTTGGAAAGTAGTGCAGTTCCAAGCATCTGTTGAAGATAGCGGTTAGAAGAGACGGCACTTTCATGCTGAGTCTATTCAAGATCAAGTTGAATATACCTTCATGTTCTTGGTACATTTCAGTGCTGAGCAAATCTGTTGTACTGTAATCATATCCGCCGGAGGCACGACACAAGGGGAGGCATCTAGGTTTTGAGCGGATTGCGCAACCTGATCATCGAGCGGTCTTTGGATACTCGAGCCAAGCAAATGCGATGAAGCGACATGCTTGCCGATCGCATTTGCTTTCTCCTGTGGGGTGATTAAGGCCTGTACTCGAAAAAAATGCACCAGACAAAAGTGTTCGCCAAAAATTTATTCTAAGTCGGATTTTCTTGAAACTTTCAGGGAATGAACTAATACATATGGGTTATGTTTTGGCATAATTACTTTATTCAATTTCCTTTCCAGCGCTGAAAGCCCGCGCCTTTCCCTTAAGACACCTCATTACATTTTGTGCAATGGTGGAGCCGACCTTTTTGGTCAGTTTCATCCATTCTTTCTTAAACACCTTGGACGATTTTCGAACTTTGGCCTTGATTATGGCCCAAAATCTTTCCACCGGACGAATCTCTGGTGAATTTGGGGGGTTGGCGGATTTTGGTACAAAACCAACGTTATTGTCTCTGTACCAATCCAACGTCGATCGCGCGTAATGGCATGAAGCCAGGTCTGGCCAAAATCATGTCTCGCCTCCGTGGGACCGCAGGAAAGGCAACAGACGCTTCTGGAGGCACTCGATGCGGTAAATTTCGCTGTTGATGGTACCCATTGTGATGTACGGTTTACTCAGTTTACCGCATTTCTTCTTCCATATGTCTTCCGGAACATCAAACCGTGATTTGGCAACGTAGAACTCCAGCCCCGGTATCTGCTTTGCGTCTGCCTTGATATAGGTTTCATCATCCATAACCACACACATCGGTTTCGTTAACCACTCTCGATACAGCTTCCTTGCGCGGGATTTGGCCGCCGTGTTTTGTTGATCACGCCGGTTCGGTGCCTTCCGGACCTTGAATACACGAAGCCCAGCTCGTTTCATGGTTTACTGAACGAACCAAGCGGAACACTTTGCCTTCAGAGCCGCATCGCGAATCGAAAGGTTCGGATTACGCTTGAAATAATCCAACACCTTCCGGGCCTTCACAGGGTCAGCTGTCTTCGATTTTCTTCCACTTCCAGCCCGCCGCTCGGTCGTTTCGGACTCCTTAAACGATTTTACCACCCGAGAAACAGTTGTATGGGTGATTCCCAGTTGTCTTCCGATCCATTTCATGGTCGCAGTCGGATTTTCCATGACGGCGCGCAAAATTCTCCGGCGATTTTCTTCTTGTTTCGATGACATCTCAATAACCACTGAACCGATTGTTATGAAATTTTTCACATGTAAATAATTCACTCCAAACTATTTATACCCAGATTTTCATCAATTTTTACCCACCGATAAAAATTGTGCATTTTTTTGAGTACAAGCCTTAAAAGCCGATCGTCAGATCGGATGAGTTTTCAGGACCTTGGCTACCTTCCAGAATGGTCTGGAGCGGTCGTCCAGATTCTGGACAACACGCCCGAAACTTTCATTTCGGAGTGAGTCCATTATGGTAGCAATCTGCCTGTTCATATCGGCCTTTTAACGTTTTTTGCCCAGATCTCCAGTCCTCTTAAACTGGCGTCTACGCATATTTCTCAATCGAATCAATAATTGGGTGTGTGAATCAATAGCACATTTTCGTCCTTCCTTGTCATCCGATAGACGGCACTTGGAGCCAGCTTGTACCGGTCTCTGATTTCAGCTTGGATAAACTTCGGGTCGAAGTTTGGTAGGCCCCTAATGACGACCTTGAATGGCTTCTCACCGGGAATGTCGTGGGTGAAGAATTCCACCTTGGAAGTCCTCAGGTGAGCGGCGCCGGTGGTGTAGTGGTAAGCGTGATTGCCTCTCACCCCAGCAGGCATGGGTTCAATCCCAGTCGGCGCCGCCGGGATGTTCTGAGGCATAACATCTCTGATCACGTCTTCCTTCGGAAGGGAAGTAAAGCCGTTGGTCCCGGGTTCATGAGTTGATGGGTCGATAGGTAGGGTCCAGGTGTGGGAGCTGCCTCCCTGGCGTCGGTAGCATTGGTGCTCAGCACGGAAAACAAGATCGACGGAAAACAAATCAAAGGAAAAAAAAAGTCCTCAGGTGGGCGACGACCAAGTCATACTTCGCTTTGGTACGAAGCACCACCTTGGTGCCGACTCTGCCCAACTTGTATTCGACTTTAACGCCCAGCGTCGCTAGATCTGCGATGAGCTCATTAAGATGGGCATTTTTCACTACCAATGGAGGTAGCTTCACTTTTGCCGCACTCGGGCCGGCAGAATTTTCGTTGCCGATGGCGTCGCCGAAATCACCGATGTCGCTGGCGTTCGTCGCAGTGACATCGGACTGGCCTCGATTCTTCTTCCTCTTCTTCTTCTTGCTGCGTTTTTCCATCACAGCTGGCTGGATATTCCCATCCATGGGGAGAACAGCAAACCTGTTGGATGTAGGTACACCCGAGTTTCCTTCACCGGGGTTCTTGTCCTTCACCGGGCTTCGCGAGCGATGCTTTTCCATTTCGGGGCACGCACACACAAAAAACCGCGAAAGAGAGCGCGAACACTATCGCCACGAACTTTTCGAACAACTCGAGATAGCGAGCTGAACTGAACCGAACTGAACTGCTTGACGATCAAGCAGAGAATCCTGACCAGGGCTGAAAAAATCACTGAAAATCATCAAAGTTCACTATGGATGATAAATTCATTTCATAGTGAATGCTGGTGATTTTTTCATGATTTTTTCAACTCTGATCCTGACACTACAAATCATGTCTGGTACCTCTATGTATGCATTTAGATTAACATTCGAAGTCCCTATATTTTTATATATTGTGCTCGACAGATACTTTCTGCCCCGCCCCATTCAAACAAATCGGCAGGAAATCCTGTGAGGGGCAAGCTATTTTGTGTGAAGAATGCGTAAAAAGGAGGGACTTTGGATGTATTTTTTTGTGCAGAATATGTACAAAAGGAGGAACTTCGAATGTTAATCTAAATGTATATATAGAGGTACCAGACATGTTTTGCACTGCAATGTCCTCTGTGAACAATTAACGGAAAACAGATTATGCGTAGTTTCCGATAGATGTCACCGCAAACAACAGCAGTTACATCTGATGGAACACGAATGCAGAAGCTTGACAAAATGATCAATTACGCTTACCACTACACCACCGGCGCGCTGCCTTGCTTTTGTAGAACATCGATAAAATTTGTAATGTTACTTAATGTACTTTTACCATATTTAGCTTTATCCATAAAACCTGGAAAACAATGTTATAGGCCCAGGAAAAACCGGGAATTTAAATTCTTAAATCAAGTGACCACCCTGAGTATAGAAAACTGACTTCAGAAAAGTTCAACATAGAATTTCCAAACAATCTTGATATGGGTCCCTAAATTTTCAATGGAGCTATCGCCGTCTAACTCCCGCGCACTGCATTCGAATACTAAAACATAACCCCCTTATACAAAACCGACTTCACAATCAATCAGAGTTTCATAAAAGTCTGCATGGTAGTGGACAAATGATTATCGCCTTGGACTGGCAACAGTCCAATTCTTCCACGCGAATCACAGAGATGCTCCCGTCGCTAGAGCACCACCAAATCCGCCCTTCCCCCCTCAAAATTGACAACCGATTCAATTATCTTAAAATGATTGTCATGACCCAGATAAAAATAGATTGACACGACGCACCAGTCGATAAACATCGGATGGAACCCGGTAAACACAACATATTTGCTCCTACTGTTGGTATTATTTTCTCTCCACTCAATTTATATGTTTACATTCCTCTCATCGCTGACCGGCATGGCATGGCAAAACCGCACCGCAACTGGTGCTACTGGTGGTGGCCGCCGGCTTCTATGCGTCCGGCGAGTCCCAGTCGTCTGTTTGTTGGCTTGCCAGTTGGTTCTATTTATATCCTATCTATCCATTTGGAATTAATCGAACACAGACTGGGTTTGGTCGCCTCTCATCGGTATCATGATCGAAACCGCCAGGCCAAGATGCTATTATCGATAGCGGATTCCGCTGCTAGAAATGCCAGAATATAGGATGAGCCTTTGGGCTGCTCTATCGCTATCGCTGTTATTTGGGAATTCGAGCGAACTAATGTCGATAAGCGCCCGTTGAAATATGAACCCTTTTTCTACTTCGGTGGGCCCGTGTCCTGGTGGAGTTACTTGTGTTTACACCACATAGGTACACATCATAGTTATCTTGAATTGCTATCAAACTGGAACTATCATCACAAAATGATAAATAATGATCGAGCGGATCCTGTGGTGAGGTCGTTTCTTCGACAAAGTCGAACCATAAAGTCCACTTGGTACTAGACAAATTGATACTAACTATCCATTTCCGCTTTTCCCTCCAACAGATTCTAAACATGGAAGACGACATGAACTGGTACCGGGCGGAACTGGACGGGAAGGAAGGGCTGATACCTAGCAATTACATAGAAATGAAAAATCACGAGTAAGTTTTTCCTTGCTCGCAGTCAGTCGCCAATTTAACTTTTCCCATTTCTTCCAGTTGGTATTACGGTCGCATCACACGGGCAGACGCCGAGAAGCTCCTAGCGAACAAACACGAGGGCGCCTTCCTGATACGGATCAGCGAGTCCAGTCCGGGTGATTTCAGCCTCTCGGTCAAGTGCTCGGATGGCGTGCAGCACTTCAAGGTCCTCCGGGACGCACAGGGCAAATTCTTCCTCTGGGTGGTCAAGTTTAGCTCGCTGAACGAACTGGTCGACTACCACCGGACGGCCAGCGTGTCCCGCTCGCAGGAGGTCAAACTGCGCGATATGGTGCCAGAAGAGGTGAGTGTTGCTTGTTTGTTTTGGGTAGGTGGGGCTTACGATGGCCCATCTCATTTGTAGGTTGGACGATACGATGGTCCATCTAGCTTACTAATTCAAAAAGTGCCATATCATTACTGGCATCTGCTTGGTATTGCTATAAGGTTTTGCACCGTCGTGGTTAAACTCTGTCGGATGACAGTTCATGTAAACCACACTTCTTCAACGTCCGCAGACAACATCCTTTCACCGCGCATTTCCTCGGCGTTTTTCAAATTAATATTCAGAATTTTCTTAAATTATTGTGGTTATAAACAGTACAACTGAACTGTCAAAAATGTCATCCGATGAACACTGAGTTCATTCGTGACATCATGCTGCAGAACCTAATAGGCGATTGCACGGATGGATTTGAGTCCACTCACTCGAGAAAAAGTGGAACAGGTACCTTAGTATTCTTTTTTCTTGTCCAAGTTATCGATTTTAATTGTGCGGACCTTATTGATCAAATCGTGCAGTAGTTTTCATCGCCGTCCTGCTTTAACGTTTGCCCGCATGAAGTCCATTTAAAGGCGTTTAGCTGTTCAACTGCCAGTATGGAGATAAACTGCGCCAAGTGCTCGTTTGAAATTACTATCATCAATAATGTGGCAGTTTGTTTTCTCCGTGCTCCGGAGTGTCACGGGCCCTCTCGGATTACTTCAAAACACATCGGAAAAACTTGTTTTGGATGTGTGACAAATGCGCCGAAATTTTTGAGAACTTACTCGCATCACCAATTTCGTGGATGAAAAATCATTTCTGGTTTCGCTTACGGATGCAATCATCAAAGACTGTTCCGTCAATCCTGTCGCCTGTTGTCAACCGATGGCCAACAATTGGATTCTTTAATTTTGAAAAATATATCGGAAAGAGCTTCGTTTTCTGAACTCAGCGATATTTTTATCGAACCTACACACTTTCATCTCGATTTTTAAATCAAGATTTAAAGCAAAATAATAACTTCACTGTTTGACACTAAACTAACAAACTGACAGCTCGCTCTCATACAAAGTGACATCGAGGGGCGCTAATAAGGTGATTTTTGCAAATGTAATCGTTCTTATTTAAAATAGTTCCAGCGTACCAAAATTGATGAAATTTTGGGTTTGGGTTCCATTTTTAATGCAAATTACGAATATGCATTTACCTCAATACTCTTAAAGATCCCAATTGAATCAACTCGACCATCAAAACGATTCCGTTGATCCGATTTTGCGTTTGTTGGGTCATACGTAATTTCTGTGCACAGCTGTGAAAAACCGGCGAGTAAATTCTCGCTCTACTATATTTGTCCCGTATCCATACTGATGGTGAGCAACGAAGCAATCACTGCTATGGTTAAAGCGAACCTGGAAATTGAAAACGAACCCGATGTTTGCACTTTTCAGTGCTAAATGTTATCTGCAAATTTTCTACCTTTTTCTATTCTTATTCTTCTTCGTTGCTTGTTTGGACTCTACCCGAGGCAATCCTGCTTGGACTTCGATTTGGAAAATTCCTCTTCGATCCTTCGGATTCTTATAGTAATCTGCTTGGAAGCCGATTTAGAGAAACTTACTTCTGCCGCCATGGTACCTAAATGCAAAAAAGGGCAATCTCTTGATCTTCTTTATGATGATGATCATGATCGATGAGAATGATCCATCATCCAGGCAAAATTCCATTCCCGGCTTAATGTCAAAAACGAAAAGGTCACCTCTATTGCGATAACCACTTCCGATTTCCATAGTCTTCGCAAGAACTTCGTGAAATTCAAGTTTTCACTTAAATTTGGCCATCGAGGTGAATGCCGAGTATTAGCTGAAGTCTTGGACGGATTCAAACGTCTTCTCAAGCATCTTACTGAGAAGCAACACAAATTTTCCACTTACGACACCAAAACTGAACGTCTGTTCAAGGTTGTCATGAAAGGACTGCCCAGTGGTCTGCAATCAGATCAAAAATGAATTGACAAAATTACCAGTCCAAGTAATCAAAATGAAAATAAAATCGCATCCTGGTGATTCGCGCAACAGGATTTCTAATGATTTTTATTTAGTCCATTTTAAGTCTAGTGAACTAAACAACTTTAAGGCCTTAGAAAGAGCTAGCCTTATGTCCGATTTATGTGGGAACACTTCAGGAAGACTAGAGGAAGTTTCACGAAAGACTACGCGACGAAATAAGGACTACGATTGGAAACTTGGAACATGGAACTGCAAATCGCTCGGCTTCCCAGGCTGCGATAGGTTAATCTACGACGAACTTCAATCACACAACTTCTTCGCTGGACGGGACAAAAGGTATGGAAAAGTGGGTACCGAGCAGCTACTTTCTACCAGAGCTGTGGCACCGCCAACGAGCTGGGAGCCGGCTTTGTAGTGCTGGGTAAGATGCGCCAACGCGTGATTGGTTGGCAGCCGATCAACGCGAGGATGTGCAAGTTGAGGATTAAGGGCCATTTCTTCAACTACAGCATCATCAACGTGCATTGCCCACACGAAGGGAGACCCGACGACGAGAAAGAAGCGTTCTATGAGCAGCTGGAGCAATTCGCAGCGGGACGTCAAAATCGTCATCGGCGACATGAACGCTCAGGTAGGACGGGAGCGATGTGCGGTAAAAGAGGTGAGGAGAAAGGAAACTAGTGGACTCTTTCATTCTGACGGTGTTCTTATGCAACAGCATACGTGACGTCACGTCTGTTGCTGCATAAGAAGACGCGAGAACGAAAGAGTCCACTAGTTTCCTTTCTCCTCACCTCTTATACCGCACATCGGGACGGGAGGCAATGTATAGACCGGTAATCGGGCCAAACAGCCGGCATGCCATATCGAACGACAACGGCCAACGATGCGTAAACTTTGCAGCCTCTCGGGGTATGGTAGTTCGAAGTACCTTTTTCCCCCGCAAAGGTATCCACAAAGCCACCTGGAGATCACCCAATCGATCACGTTCTAATCGACGGGAAATTCTTCTCCGACATTATCATCGTCGTCCGCACGTACCGCAGTGTAAACATAGATTCGGACCACTACCTAGTTGCAGAATGCATGCGCTCAAAACTCTGGACGGTGCATAACACACTGACTGGTTGACGGCGAATGCAAACTGTTAGTAGAGGAGAAGAATGCAGCACGGGCGAGAATGCTGCAACACCGCACGAGATTGAATGTGGAGCGATACAGACAAGCGCGGAACAGACAAAACTCGGTATTCTGAAGGAAGAAGCGTCAGCAGGAAGACCAAGATCGCGAAGCGATGGAAAATCTGTACCGCGTAAACAACACACGAAAGTTCTACGAGAAGCTGCCGCAAGCCGATATGTGCAAGGACTTGGACGGTAACCTTCTCACGAACGAGTGTGAGGTGATTGAGAGGTGGAAGCAGTGCTATGACGAGCACCTCAACGGTGGTGCAGCAGAAAACGAAGGTGGCACGGCAACAGACATTGGAGCACGCGCAGAAGACGACAGACTACCGGCCCCTGATCTTCAAGAAGTTGAGGAGGAGATCGGTCGACTGAAGAACAACAAAGCAACTGGTGCAGATCAACTACCAAGTGAGCTATTAAAATACGGTGGTGAAGCACTGACTAGAGCGCTGCACTGGGTAGTTGCCAAGATTTGGGAGGAGGAGATATTACCGGAGGAGTGGATGGAAGGTGTCGTATGCCCAATCTACAAAAAGGGCGACAAGTTGGATTGCTGCAACTACCACGCGATCACACTGTTGAGCGCCGCCTACAAGGTACTCTCCCAAATTCTATGACGCCGCCTGTCACCATTTGCAAAAGAGTTCGTGAGGCAATACCAGGCGGGATTCATGGATGCTACCACGCTACCACGGACCAAATTGTGATTCGGCAGGTTCTGCAGAAATGCCGCGAATACAACGTGCCCACACATCATTTGTTCATCGATTTCAAATCCGCATACGACATCGATCGATTATGCACGAGTACGGATTGCCGGATAAACTGACGCGATTGGTCACGGCGACGATGGATCGAGTGATGTGCGTTGTTCGAGTATCGGGGACACTCTCGAGTCCCTTTGAATCTCGAAGGGGGTTACAGCAAGGTGATGGACTTTCGTGCCTGCTATTCAACATCGCGTTAGAAGGTGTGATCAGAAGAGCTGGGATAGACACGAGTGGCACGATCTTCAGGAAATCCATCCAGCTTCTTGGCATCGCCGATGACATTGACATCATGGCACGGAACTTTGAGACGATGGTGGAAACGTGCATCAGACTGAAGGCTGAAGCTAGGCGGATTGGACTTGCCATCATCGCATCAAAGACAAAATACATGAAAGAAAGAGGTGCTAGGGAAGACAATGTTAGCCTCCCACCCCGAGTTCAGATTGACGGTGACGAAATCGAGGTGGTCGATGAGTTCGTGTATTTGGGCTCACTGGTGACCGCCGAAAATGATACCAGCAGAGAAATTCAAAGACGCATTATGGTAGGGAATCGTGCCTACTTTGGACTCCGGAGGACGCTCCGGTCGCATAAAATTCGCCGCCGCACGAAGTTGACTGTCTTCAAGACGCAGATTAGACCGGTGGTCATCTACGACCTCGAGACCTGGACTATGCTCGTGGTGTTTTCGAACGGAAGGTGTTGCGTACCATCTACGGTGGAGTGCAGATGGATGACGGAACGTGGAGACGGTGAATGAACCACGAATTGCACCAGCTGCTGGGAGAACCATCCATCGTCCATATTACAAAAATTGGGCGACTACGGTGGGCTGGGCAATGCCGCACGACGACCCAGTGAAAATGGTTCTAGAAAGCGACCCAACATGAACAAGAAGAAGAGGCGCGCAGTGGGCAAGGTGGATTGGCCAAGTAGAAGGCGACCTGCGGACCCTTCGCAGACTACGAGGCTGGCGAAGTGTGGCCATGGATCGAGTATAGTGGAGACGACTTCTTCGGACAGCAGAGGACAACAAGGCCTTAGTCTGATTGGTAAGTAAGAGGAAGTTTCAAAAA